ACTTAGGAGTCCTCTTCACTACTCCTAATGTTTCACAGATTTAGGAGATTTAGTTTTAGTGGTAAAACGCTTTGTGAAATACTCTTGGAGCAAAAATGTAGGAGTCCTACATTTAGAACTGATGCACCCATTATTTTTAAGATTTTCTCCTAAATCGACGAGTTATGAGCTACTTTTAGCCTTAAGATGTTTTGTGAATATGGGCCCAGTTGTGTAATATATATGGGTCATGTACGGCATTAAAAAAATAATAAAATGGCATTAAAAAGGCATTAAATTAGATTTGATGATACATGCAGAAACCCTGTGTAAGTAAAACCATGTAAAAATGTTTTAAAAGAGAGAACATATGACCAATGGACAGGCAGCAAATCATAGATCGTTCGTATTTTTAGTATAATTATCTTTAATATCATCTGTATAATCTATTAGTATTATCATTAGATTAGAACTATTAGTACTATTATTTTGGCACATGGCCTTTCGTACCTTGTAATTAATAACAGTGTATGCATTTTTCATAAAGCAAATGTCAAGGAACCGTTTTTTTTTTTTTTTTGCAATGCATTGATATTTTGGTGAAATATTCTTCTCTACAGATTGTGCCATTGCTGCTGCTGCCACTTTTGCACTAACCCTTGTCATTTTGGCTTTCCTCATCTGCAGGACAAACAGGTATTTCACACATATTGCATTAATGTCATTTTGGCTTTCCTCATCTACACGACAAACAGATATTTAACACATATTGCATTAATGCCATATGCACAAAACACTAAAACACTATTTTCTATTTTCTAGCAGTGCAAAATATGCTCCTACAAGAGCCTCATCTGATGAACAAAACCAGCCTTGTTCAGCAGAATTAGCCTAAGGAGGCAACTGAACTTGACCTAGAAACAACAACACATGGCGTGGAGTCATGACAACACATTATCCTATAACGTAACACGTATTATATTATATTATATTATATTATATTATATTACAGTAGATTTTTATATTATATTATATTTCTAGTTAGAGAAACACCACTCTTAGAGTGAGAGAAAACACAGGCACTAAGTATCACAAACAGTAAAATATCAGAATTTTACTAAATATAAAAATGTTATATATATTTACTAAATATAAAAATATGATAAATACATTAAATATAAATATATTATATATTTATTATATTATGAAGGCTAATATATAAAGTTTATAACTTTGTATTTCCTCCCAGAATTTACAATAGCTCCCTGTCTCTGTTACATGTTGTGTTTTACACAAAGTTACCACATGAGGTCACTGTCTACAAAGTTTGAATTATTTCATTCATGTAATGGCGTTAGTGTTCAACTTCTGTTAGCCGATCGTGTTGCTCACGACTGTAAATCTTGGTTGCTTGTAGTTCTGGGCATTCTTATAGGGATTTTCGTATGTATTTCAGGTTTTTCCATCCTTGTAGCTCTCATTTAGTCTTTGTGTTATAGGATACTCTGAAATTGCCGTTAAACCTATGACTGTTACTCAAGTCTTTGAATCTGTCGAGTCACAAGCAATTAAAAACTGTAATGCCAACGCTTGGATTTGTGAACGTGTTTAAACAAGATGTGCTTTCAATCATTTCTTTGAATTGACGCGATAACGAGACTCAGCAAGCGCTTTGTTTGTTTGTTTGTTTGTTTGTTTGTTTGTAATGTTCAATTTCGCCCTTGGGTTGATTAGCTAAGAAATATAACGTTGTAAACAAATAAAATCTCACTTACCGGTGGGCAACAGCTTTACATGCCATCTGTCTCGGTTTGTAGGCAGAATCGGTGAGTTTACCAAAAAGAAAAACCCCTACTTAGTCACCGCTTATTTGTTGCCATGACGCGTTGGTAAATAGAGTAAATTATTTGATAATTTCATCATAAATGATATCATCCAACGCAGCTCACTGAGAAGTGAGCCAACAGTGCCCATAAACAGAGATGCTTATTATTTATTTATTTATTTAAATAAATACATATTTATTTGGGCGCTTTTCACATCTATTCCACCTTTATTTGACCCCCTAACTCTAGCACTTTCTATTCTATTTTAATTCTACTTTATCTATATTTATCTTCTTTTTTTA